GGGGCCGGGGATGCTCCGCCGTGTGGCGTCCCCCGTTTTTTTAAAGCTGCTCCCGCGCGGCCGCCACGTGGCTTCAAAGCCGCACGTCCGCGGGGTCTGCGGACTGGCCGCGTCTGCGGATTCGGCCGCGGATGGCCGCCGCCGAGGGTGTTTCATAGCTCATTTTGATGCAGTGTGGGTCGCAGCAGCCAGGTTTGTGCAATGGAAAGTTGAGAGACTCCAGGGGAGCGCAAAGCTAGTCTATAGCTTTGGTCCTAAGCTTTTCGATGACTACCCCAAACCTCTGATTCCTTACTACTTCAGTGACGGATCATACTGGGGTGACCTTGTGGACCGAGCCAAGAGGTACATCTCCCCTGCAGTGATCGATTACGAGGCGGTGACAGAGCCCTCAGAGTTCCCACATCTCAAGAGGGGCATTTTCTCTCAGCCCTATCTCCCCACTCTATGGGAGGAATTTTGTGCCATGGTTGACTTCCGAATCATGGGACTTGGATGAAAATCTTTGGAACTTGCAGGCTTCAGGTGGCTCTACATATAAAAGCCACAACCTCAGAAAGTTCGGAGACATGGCAAGAAGCCCAGACGACAGATAGCAAAATGAGAGATTGAGTGTTAAGCCTAGAGGGATGAGTGAGGACTCCTGACTGGTGCTGGCCATGCTCCCTTCCACATGTACTTCCTGGTACTATTTATGAGTTCTCATTCTTCCCTCATCCATTTGACTTTGTCATTACTCGAGTCAGTCAGCTTTGCTTCTTGCATTGTTTTGCTTGATGATTGCTCATATAGATGATTCTGTCACAGTTCTCAAAATCAGATTGACATAATTGATGCATGCATGACATTTCAATATTTTATGATTATTATTTGCATGATTCTCCACTGTTCCGTATCAAAATAAAAGATTCCTAAGACCGGGGACCGGCGAAGACCGTAATTGAAGGGTCTCGCTCAAAGCCGGACGCACACAATAGGAAGGGATTTGCTTTATTTGAGTTATTTTATTTATTGCAATTACATCCAAAACCCTGCGTGACAGCCTGTTCGCTTCCGGTCGACCATAGTGATCCGACTGGAAAAAGTGCGACAACGTGTGTTACAGTGACACAACGTTATTCAGGAGGACAAACATAGATTTGGATTCCACCCGCCGTGTCACGGGCCACACTGCACGCCTTCAGCCGGGCTTGGGACCCCGAGGCGCTTGGACGACCGTGGTGAGGGAGGTACCAGTGAGCCTGAGCGAGGTCGTGGAAGAGGAGTGTCCACCGAGAGCTTGGAGCACGCTCTGGGAGCAGCGACGCGTGCCGTGCAGGAGCAGACTCAACGCAAGTGTGGAGTGCCTCCTCGTCCACGTCCCGTGCCTGCAGCGGAAGGCGCTGCACTTGGAGAGAGTTCGGGGGCGGAGGGGTTGGGGATGCCTTGTGGATCCCGCCGTGAGCAGACGGTTGCAAAGGCTAGTGCGAGGGTTGCTGTGTTGAGGAAGGGAGGAGACCCTGTCACCATCGAGGAGGATGATCCTGATACGGATGCGGCTGTGCGGGAGGAGGACGAGGACTATGAGGGCGAGGAGGAGGGAGAGGAGGAGAGCAGGAGCGGTTCCGATGGTGACGACGACGACGACTATGATGAGCCCCCACCTCCCCCAGGATCCCCACCGACGCGTGCATCTACACGCTCCGCTGCGCGGACTTCTTCATCCGCACGAGGGAGGAAGAGGTCGACATCCGACACTCGAGGGGGTACGAGGAGACAGAGCGGGAAGGGGAAGAAGGGTCGTTGACCGATGAGGCCAACACTCCGCTTCTCCTCTACTCGCACTATACTTCGTCATGTTGTGCGGTCCTAGTTTTTTTGGTCGTCTCGTCTTGTCTTAGTATTGTCAGACACTTGTGAGTCAGTGGTAGTGTGCGTACTTTACTTGTTGGTGTGTATGATTTTGGTAGCAGTAGGGTGTTCGTAGAGTATGATTTTGGTGCCAGTAGGGTGTTCGTAGAGTGTCGTCGGTTGCAGCAGACTGAGTACAGTATCTCGGCAGCTACGACACGACTTGTAGACTACTGTTTCTTGTACTTTTTTCGACATGTGGTACCAGTGCCTTAGCAGTAGGATACATTGTATCATGTTACATTTTTCATGTGTGATTTTAGTGTCAGGTACTTCGCATCGTTCACGACTTTTCATGTACATTACATTTTCCATGTACATTACATTTTTCATGTTCATTGCATTTTCCATATACATTTTTTGTTACGAGTGATGCACGTCGTGTGCACGACGTTGCGTGCCCATTTTTTTTTCGGTGTGTGATTTTATATCTTTAATTGTTGTTCTTATTTTCAATTTCATTTATTGCATTTGTTTCTTTTAATTTATTTTTGGCTTGGAGAGTTCGGTGCTTGTTGTCTTTTTATTTCTGTCTTAATTGTTGATTCTATTTGCATTGAATGGAATACTAACTGATGTTT